TCCCTTTCCTAATTTGATCACTCCAGCTATTTTTGTTTCCTAATTCGATCATTCAAGTCATTTTGTAAGGAGTGCTTGAGAAAAACATTGTTTCGACATGAAAAGTATCTTTAATATTAAAACAAATTACAACATTCGATTCGTCAGCTCAAAATCTATATTTTCATATAGTTTTTATAATTCTTATGAGTAATTTTTATTATTTTTTTCTGATTACATTCAAAATGATGTTTGTGATCAAATTAGGTAACTGATCTTAATCTGATCACTCAAGCTATTTTGAGTTCCTAATTTGATTACCTAATGTAAAATACAAGGGATTTCAATGAATGATCGAAAAAAAGATGTTCGCACTATCCAAAAGTACGAAATTGCTAGTTGGTACTGATACAAAAGTTGTTGTACAGACCAAAGACTATCGATATACAAAATGTGAGCAGTATAACTTCTTTTTTATATGTTATCTTTCTTTTTCATTATGAAGTGCAGCATTCTTTACCTTATTTTTATCGAAATAAAGCAATATATGCGAAAGTTAATTTTAGTTTTGTGCCTAATATTGATTAATAATATATTAAAATGCTTCTCTACCTCTGATTGTTGCGATTGCATGGCCTAGAGTCGATCAATCTTCTAGTTTTCGGACCCTCTATATGTGCAATATTTTAAGTAACCAGTTATCCTAGTAATTGAGCTATAGTTATAAATTCCTTTTTTTTTTAATGCAGTCGTTGTTTGTTTAGTATTTGACATTTTTTCTTCATAATGTCCGAAAAAGTGTCTGAAACAGTTGGTAATTAATCCTATTAATAGTATGCTTGACTCGAAATGAGCAGCTAAACTCTTTGATGTCTCGGCTAGTACTACTCAATCCATCGATGAGATCCATTTGTGGAAATCAAAATAGGTCGTCCATCTTACTTCAGTAATACTGAAAAATCCTGTTCTGTTGCTTCACTTCAACTCTTACCCAGCTTTGGTTTTCAAGTTACACGTGAAGCTACTTCAAAGTTGGTGAATGATTATTTCAAGTCATTGGACTTATCCAGTAATCCTGTTGAATAAATGGCTTCATTCATTTACTAAACATCATGATGTTGATATGAAATGGAAAACGCAAAGTAATCTTGGCCAAGCATTTGAAGAAACATTTACTGGACAAGTTCGTTCAAATTGGTTCGTAAAACCTGAAAATATGATGGCCAAATGTGACCATGAAGAACCTAGTAGGTCTTTAATTTATATGAAAATGGCTTTCCAAACCAAACGAAAGATTAATAGACTGTAAGAAATTGAAATCGACTATTTTTCTCTTAACATGGGCATGGGTTATAGTTAAATCTAATCGTAGACATGTTTTTGAGGCAAATAGTGGTACAGGTAAAAGATTATCGAACAGCACTAATTTATGCTACTGTTGAGGTTTTTGTTGTCAGTTCCTTACTTCTCTTTCGAAAAACATCTAATGGATTCGTGGTTTAATGATCGATCATATGAAACACATGATAGATTCGCACCTGAAGTAAATTTTGCTAGAGATAACTATTCTTCCCGTCTTGAAGCATAATCTTAACGAAAAAATAGATATAGTTATATATCAATTCAGACTGTTTCTCTTAGAAAGTATTTGTTTTCGTACAAATGAATTTTTGTAGCCGTTGTATATAAAGTTTCGCTTGTCTTTGTTTAGAAGTAAAAAAATGTTTGAATATATTTATTTCAAACAATTTTTTCATTTCAATTTTTAATGCTGACAACATTGAAATGAAACCAAATAAGAATGAAAGTCTTTCGTACGTAACAACGATGGAATACCATATGAAATAGAAGTTATACTGCTCACATTTTGTATATAGATAGTGCTTGGTCTGTACTACAACTTTTGTATCAGTACCAACTAGGAATTTCGTACTTTTGGGTAGCGTGAACATCTTTTTTTCGATCATTCATTGAAACCCCTTGTATTTTACATTAGGTAATCAAATTAGGAACTCAAAATAGCT